CAAAAGATTTTATGCTATTGTAATATAGACTTTGGTGTATCATCAGTGCTTTTAACGTCTTGGTATCTTGTTGCGTCTTCATTTCTATACTTCTCCGACGTTCCGTTAGCTAGACTAGCTAAATAATTTCCTGACATGAAAGAATCCAAAGTCCCTTGTGGGGGTCGGACCCACATCATTAAAGGGAAAGTGGTTTGAAGTCGGAAGTAAACGATCTTATCAGTTCAGCTAAGGACATGAGCTATTATTACTTAATGTATCAGTGCGCGTACAGAATACAGTCGTTATTATGTGAATAAGGATCATTTACATTTCCAGGAAGCATTTACATTACATGCCAAGTTATCTATTTTATGACCAGTTGGAGTAAAAATATATGTTACACATGGAAATATGTCAGTAGATGAAAGTATTTTAATACTGACAAACTTTTATCTTAACTATAAATGGGCATTAATCATTATCATACATACATAATATAATGTGATTGGTTAAAATATAGAAATATATAATTAGCAATAGTGGCGATAAACTGCGTTGATGTTTATTTCTTTCAATACATGAAATACTTAAATGTAAATATAAAGGAATCAAAGAAAATTGAATGTACGGAAATATTACAATATTCACTTAAAATGTAAAATATAGGATATATTAAAACATAGTAATAATAAACAGTGAACTTTGTAAATATGCAAACAAGGAACAACAGAAAGTTTAGTTATATTTTTTTCCAGGAAATGCTTCATATACATATAGCATATCTCAGCATTATACGTCTTAAGAATGATTTACGCGAAATCAATACAAGCTTGTCTTTTAGGTGTGTAGACCGAAATCCAAGTATCATTTGCTGTAATTTACTACAAACATAATCTGCAAAACAGGCATCAAACTGTCTTTCGTAACACTTTATTGGTAATTATTTAGTGGTTTCCCTTACAATGTATTGCTTAAAGGGATTACAGCGATGTATTGACTGAGTCTAGATTTCAGTTCCATTCTTCATGTTTATGAATATGAATCATCATCTTATAACAACAATAATTGTTTCTTAGATTAATTCTCATAACATTCGTGGTTAACTAAAAACTTCTTTTAAACATTTGATATTTTAGATTTATCCGTATGAAATACAACTGAATAAAAGAAATTCTTGAAGTTTTACATCATCATTTTAACAGTCAATAACAATATTTTTCAGACAAAAATCTATAATAAGTGAGATGACTTTGACTTTGATATAGTGAAGCATCGTCATTTAGACGGAAATGTAACCCATGCCACATCTTACGTGACATATGTATATTCCAGTTTATTAGATAGCTAGGGCTTGTAATAATGGAAACGATTTTAACGAATAGAATATGTTCATCACTAACGAGTTTACCAAACAGCGTTACTGTTATCATGAATAACAAACATATTTCACAAAACTTTATAATTATAGTTATTTCGATTTCATTTAGATATTCAATAGCGATTAGAAAATTCTTTTGCGACTAAGGATTAGCAAGCCTGATTTATATGAATGAATATGTGATGTCAAACTTCGTAAGTCTTGGGTGATGGTATTTTTTGTCTATTCTAATACTATCAAACGTTATATTAAAAGAAGTAATGACACTTTTGTTTTAAGACAAACCGCAACCTTAGTGTTAAACAGGTTTGCAGAAGGCCAATTCGTTCAACTTTATTACATCTGTCGGACCAAATTGGAAACGTGATGATGGTCAAGACAGTTTTTTAAACCTATCGGGACTGAATCGTCTTGACTTTTGTATTCTGCCTTGCTTACTCGGGCCTATTTGGGTGATATTCTGTCTTCTTTGAAGACACTGATTACTTTTGTTATGCTCATTGCGTTAACTTTTTATATATTTCTACATAATCATTTCTGTGGTATACGTATTTCACCTTTGGTAACCATAACTAACAAATTTTAGAATTCCATTTAGTTGGGAATAATTTATAAAAAAACTGTCTAGTTTAACACAGGAGCATGTTCTCAGAGTGGGTGCATTATTATCTGATTTAAACTCCCAAGTAGTGCGTTTGCTGCTGACCTTTTCAAGGTGGCGCCCCTCTGTGTCATATCTTTTTCTTGTTTTATTGCTTCATATTTTCTGTCGTCAAGGGTAAGTTTCCCCTTATTTCTAGTTCTCCGGTTCCTTTTCATACAACCTTGTCCTTGTGCGTGCCTTTAAATTCGTTACCTTCCTTATATTTTTCTTTATTGAATTGTTTATTATCTATAACATTGTCCCATCAGTGCTTGGCCCTTTCCCCTGGGCTCCTTGCCGGCAGGTTTTGTTTGGATTCATAGTATGTGGCCTTATTTGTTAATCTTTGTATATCAAGACAAGAAGTTGTACTTTAGCTAATATTCAAATATTTTAAGAGTGTCTCTAATTACATAAACTAACAACAATGATAGATTTGCAGTCAACAGCTTATCAAGTTAAAGAATGATAACAAAGATCAACAAGGAAAGGAGGCATTCAATGAAAGAAACCCCAAACAAATCTCAGCAACACCGAACTACGAACACGAATCCAGCAATCAAACATTCCGTAAATCTTTTCAATCATTTGTTAAAAGAGTTTCGATCAAAAAAAGTAGTATGTACATCTATAGATGTTTCTTTAAATGTTTAATATTAAAATAAGTTTACGAAAAGTAGTCATCTGTTACAGTAGATGAAATGACTAAGTTATACATTTGTACTGACAAACTAAACGAGAGAGATATTTAAGGTGTAATAAAGTACTTTTTATATTAAGCAGTTTAAATCGTAGCTATTTTCAAAGAAGAACCTTTATGGACTTACTTATACCGCGGATTAATAGCCAAATTATATGACAATTACAACCCGGATCAATAAATGACAGCCCTTTGTGCATTTCTCTTATCTGGTTTCTTTATCTTTTGTTGCAATAATTTCATTCTACGCTAAAATACATGACTTTAATATCATTAATATTTCTTTTTCATATTTTAAAAAGGAATTGATAAGGTAGATATACTTGTTTCTTTTGTTTCTAATAAAGCATTGTTTCTGACCTATTATGTCTATGTTCATGCTTTGCTTACACTAAACAACTGTAAAATTGTACTGTTAAGGTCTGGTTTTTACGCGAATATCATAGAACTCAAGGATTTTCTCTCTAGAAATTGTTGTTTTACATGGTAATTATTCTGTTCTCCATTAGCAAGCAGTCATATAATACATTTTACAGCTCATAAACCACTTTGTTTCAGGGAAAAGAAGCGTTCTAAGTGTTTATTATAGATCATCAAACTAATTCACTGTCATAGAAAATTATGAGATTTTAAATCAACCAAACTATGAAATATCTAAAAAGGTAAAAGGTAATCTCGACTCATAACTCGACTCATTTATTTCAAAACTTAAATATCAATTGGACTTGTAAACAATATATTTATAAATTATTTTTCCTTTTTATGAAAATCCCACCTTCCTATACAACAAAAGCAATATTTGATTTACTTATTCCTTCCGATGTAGTTTGATTTAATCTCTAGCCTTCAGATTACCGATGCGACCGGTGCAGCCCAAGATCAGAGGGCATTTCCGAACGCCTGATTATGTTCTTTACACTGTTCAGTTAGCAAATATTTTGAAAAATTCCCAGTATAAGAAAAATGATTTTGTCCAGAGTTAAGTCAAGTCCATTTAAGATGTTCAATCGGAGTAAATAGTACGTATCTTCTATGAAACGAATATCTAGTGAATTATTTTTGATAATGCTTCAAACCTTACTTCCGAAATGAGTTGGCACGCATTATGGAAACAATCTCTTTTTCGTCTTGTGCCTTATTAATATCTGGAAAAACGTGATCCCTCGGAAGTAATAAAAACAGGAAAATATTATAAAAAATTGCAGCCTTGGTTTGTTAAACTTTGTTTGAAACTGTACATGAGACTGTTCTATTAAAAATCCTAAACTTATGTATATAAAATGTAAAAAGAAATTACGCGTACAAACACTTACTTAATATCTAAAAACATCTGACATAGAAAGTAATTTGATTGCATTGCAATATGTTGTTCTGGTGAACTACTTATAATGCGGTTACTGTGAAAAAATATTTTCCAAGAATATTACAGAGGTAAAAAGTGCCTTCTACGTTAACAACACATGGATGTTGTCAATAAACATTTTGCAAGGTAATTTCTAGATATTTATTAGTAATATGCACTTTCAGTTCAGTAACAATCTCATAAATGAATGAATTATTAATGAATGGAAAAGGATTGATATCTTATACCTGTAATTGATAGAAATGTACTTGATTAAATATCAGGGTTCTTTTCATAGTTGCATTTGTAAATAGGAAATGGCATAAAAGTGAGTATGTCATTGTATTAAAAGTCTTTTTGTCTGGCATGTAGTAATCAGATATTCCTATTTAATTATAATTTCGTATTTGCATTATGTGACACCCTTATAAATACAAAGCTAACAGGTTTAGCAAGCTGAAGTGTACACTTCATACACTTCATTACTTAATATACTTAAAGTCGACACTGTTTCTTTATTCGATATTATTTTCAAAATTTGTAACCAATACAGTTAGCAAAATACAAGCATATATAATATTTTCGATCGCAATTTAGAATTACACATTATGGAAGCACTATATTGAACCATTTTTTTTCTCAAGTACACTATATTCTTGGTGCCAATACCGAAGTTAAAGTTCAAACCGATTTAAATACATTAATTTGTCAATCTGCATTTAACTAGTTCTCCTGGGTAACTTACCCATAATTACAAATTTCTCAGCATGTGGCCGACTACTATTCATGCAACATTATATACTTTAAGGAAATACGAATTTTTTCAAGTTATGGTAAATTGTAATTCCTACACTATTTAAAAAGTGTTGTATTTATCGAGATATATGATTAAAAAACACCTACTTCATGAAAGTCAACTTTATGAGCGATGACAAATAAACAAGAACTACAGAACAAAGGTATATTATATTTTATTTTCAATAAAAGTAAATCGTGTGTTCGAATTGCTTACAGTACTGTTTTGTGTAAAGAAATGTCTTACAGTGCATAAGAAAGAAATCTGAGTTGAACCTTTTACTAATAGTGTGATATGTAAGTATGAAATCTATGAAAGATTAATAAATTGAGAAATAATAAATTTGATGTTTCATAACGTATAAACAATAATCCAATATGTCACTTTTATGCCACTGAATATAAAAAATAAACTAAATAGCAATTTTATACAGCTAGATATTTTATCAATAAGTTTTGATCGCCGACATTCTTTTTTTTTAAGTTTGAAATTGTCGTTATTCGTGAAGTATTGTAACATTAGATTATATAAACTAGATCAGACGCTGATGCAATTTAAGGCAATGCTGGGCATAATTAAGGCCCTAAAAGGTTCGCTATTATAATGCAAATTAAGCAGGCTATAATAAGAATATAAAATTACAAAAAAGTAAGTAACAAAACTGCTTTTAATATTAAATGACTTACAGATACTTCTTTTTGTAATTTGCTGTCATATTTTGATTTTCACAAGCACATAGTGTGGATTAATTTAACTGAAACAACGCTTATTTACAAAATGTAAGACCTTACAGTATTTTAATTGCCACATAACTAATAAAAAAGGAGTACATGTTTTATTAAATAAACTTCGATGTACATCAAAAATGAATTAGCTTTCATGATAGAAAAGTATATGCATTATTCCTATTATCATAATTTTGATACTTGAGTTTGGAAGATTTTTGTTTTCAGAAAATCACAAAAATAGAAGTTTTTAAAACTAATTTTGGTTTTCCAATGATTAAGATACATTTAAAAAATGTTTCAACAAACGATTTTTGTCGAACTATAGACTGCATTGGAAATGAGAGCTTTTATTGAATTAAAAACATAATTTTGATTAATTGTGAAGATCTACTGATTTATTGAACTAGGCCATATCTAAAAATATGAAACAGAGTTATTGAATATTTTGAAGAATATTTTATATTTCAATTCCTGTACATAACTTTATTGTGTTAATTCGAATCAAATAACTACATGTTGATTTGTTGATTAACGACATGCTAAAATTATAAATATAAATAATTACCAAAACAAGTGGTACATCTGATTTGCAAGATATAACTTAAATATTACTTTACAAGTATAATCATCAACATTTCTAAGCACATTGTCCACCTAACACATACATAATTCAAATTATTAACAAACCAAATAACAAGTAAAAGAGTAAATGAGGAATGGGCTTAAATATACACAATGAATAAACTTATTTTGCCGAAATCTGTTAAGACATTTTGACAATATTTTCCTCCTTGACTTTCATGTTAAAGTGTATAATTGCAAATCAAAAAAGCAAACATTATTTATATTTTGTAGCGTGTAAAATTTAAAAATACAAAAAGTGATATAGATTTGTTTAACAATAATGTAATGTTTAACAAAAGTCATACGGAAAAAAACAACAGAAAATAATAACTTGGCTTTCCTGACAGCATAAAAATAAATAGTCATTATATCTTATTTTTTTAACCGTCATGCAAATGCTACAGTTGTTATTCAAATAACTAAAATATATTGTTAATAGAAAACGAATTTTAATACCTTTGAAAGAAATAAATTAAAGTGATCCAGTAAATATTGTCTTAAAACATTAAAAAAATGCTAATTTCAAGGAAATTTCGAGAAAAAACGTGCAATTAGATAAATAGTATCCAATATAAAACACTGAGCAATGTTTTCACAGTTTATATATACACGAAGAACAAAATGCTCAACTTTAACATCTCATTGCCTTAAAGCTGTTTACATACATTCGTGAAAGCCGAAATGGACCCAGTTGTTTAGTGTGCCAAGCAAAGGTCAAAATTCAAATTTAATCCCTCCTCATTGCAAAGAAAACAACACTGACACGTTTGTAGCAGTTTTGTTTTGTTTTTGTTCAAAAGAAATATTATGTTTGATATCTCACGTTGTTACATGTGATCCATCATAAATTGTTAAAGCTTGTATAATTGTTGGGTCTTTTTTTGACCCTTCAAGGAATTCATCAAATGTTAACTTATCGTCATGATTCTGCAATGTAAAACAAAAATGTGGTCAGCATATTTCTCATGCTTTCCGGTTAAACATTTTAAAGCCTTTTTGTACAAGACTCTTTTTAAATACTTATTAATAACATATACAATGAGACGTTATTTACTACTTGTCTATTTGACCTGGGAAGAAAATATGACCACATTGATAAAAGACCTCTGTGTTCATCTTAAAGGTGTGAAAAACCACATTGCTTTCCACGCCATTAGGCATCCTTGGGTTTGTTCCTATTGGCCAATCAGACTCGTTACAAAATACAGAACAGCTGATGGCGTAGAAAGCAATCGAAAAAAACGTGTAGAGGTTTGAAACTCGAATTTCGCGTGTATCAGATGCTACTGACGGTTGTGAATTGGGCCCATTTTAATGTAGTTAGTAATATTAATTAGTAAATTCAATTGACTTGGACTCGTAATCGGCTGACAAACATAAATTAATCTATGTTTACGTACCGAATCGTTGTGCCACTTTTCTATCTACCTGGGAGTTTAAGCATGGATGCGCTCGTTTGCTGATAAATATTTTGATGAACGGGAAGGGCTAGAGCCTTGGGATTGGTTTCATTTGGAAGCTTAATATAACGTTAAATGGTGATAAAAGTTCGTCAATAAACCCCTTGCTCGTAGACTAGAATCTTGAGTTTCTGGCCTTCTCTTCACTTATAATATATTTTTAAGGGGACTCATATGTCACTTTTTTCTTTTTGACACATTTAAGATGAACACAAAGGTCTTTTATCACTGTGGTCATATTTTCATCCCAAGTCCGATACTCGTGCCTGTGCTTGTACATATCACTTTTATTTTCTTTAGATTTCATTAGATAATGATACTAAATTATGTACACTATTAGTAAAATTTATTTATTATATTATGACAGAATTAAGTTTTGCACTTATTTGTTCTGACCTTATCCATTACGTCAAATATTCGGTTCACTCTTTTATCTGGTGTGTTTTCTTCTTCCGGAAGTTTCACTGCATTTCCCTGCGGAATCATATAGAATCGTATAACAATTGGACATATTGAATAGTATTAAAGACCAAGTGGATACAATGTAAATGTAAATATTGAAAATGTATCTTAGAATGCATTTCAAATCTTTGATATGAAATGATACTATGGCCACATAAAAGTTATATTATTCTGAAATAGAAGTGCATTGTAAAAAATATCTATGTGGCTATACTCAACGTCCTTGCAACAGGATTCTGTTACTGCAAAACGGAACAATTCAAGCATCTCACCCGAACTTTGTAATGAAGATTGCGTGTATAATTGTGTTCAAATAGAATAAAAGCTTAATTAACTTGAATCTTGTATACAAAGTAATGATGCTGCTCCCATATTAAATCTACTTACCACCATTTTGTAAATTGATTCTACAATGTCTCGGAGTTCATCTTTAGTAATAAACCCATCGCTGTCTAAATCATACAACCGGAATGCCCCTATAATAGCAATATAACAGTAGACAAATTAAGCTCAATACAAACCAGCAAACTCTTTACATGAAATCAAGTAATAAGTAGCATCAGTGAACAAAGAAAATAATATGTGAAGATGTAATTAAAGGCGATTAACCTAATGAAAAAATAAAATAAAACAACACATACTGAAATTATCAAAAATACTTTCATAAGGTTTATGATATATAGTTACATTGAAGTTTTTCCTCTACGTTTCCCCTTGAAGTCACAGACAAAGCTTGGAGAAATTCATGGAATTCAATATAACCATCCTGAAAACAAAAACATGTATGTTCAAATTTATATGAATTTAAACTAAACTAACAATTCGAAGTAAATTCATATTTTCTAATTACCAGTTTAAATCACATTTCAAAACAAAAACATATACAACATATTTACACAAATATGATCTGGCAATTCATCAACCGTTTTGACAAAAACTGACTGATCTTCTTAAAGGTATAGTTTAGAATTACTTCATGTTTAGTTATGTTATTTCTATATCCAATATACTTGCATGGTTTTTGTCAAAGACGTTGAACACAAATGTTGCAAATCTACTAGGGTCACCAAATGGAAAGAACTGTTTATATATTTTAGTAAAGCCCTGAAATTGAAAGACAAGCTGTAAATAAATATGAACATGTATAAATATGTAAAAAAACAATTTTGAATATGACATTGAAAGACTTTCAGATTTTCCATTAAATGAAGGAAAAAATGAAACAAAATAAAAAACAAAACAAAGACAAAAACAACATTTTAGCTGGCATATATTTAAGATCCTGTGAGTGAAATTGTTAAATTTTTGGTCTGTTCACATTGTCTGACACGTCAAAGAAATGAATCACCTGATAGTTGAATACATGCATGTATAGATGGATAATTTATATTACTTTGACATTGAAAGTCCTTACCTCTAGCGTAAGTTTACCGTCTGGACAGTCTTTCATAAAACCTTTATACCTAATAATTGAAGATAAAATAATACTCGTAACAATTCAATATATTTACTTAATAATTTATAGTATATAGCAATATCTTTATCAGATTATTTCATGCAAGTCACTTAACTTTTTGATATCATTATGTCTAATAATCAACTGGGACATATATATGTATGATAAAAGTTGATTAAAATGAAAAAAATACATATAATAGTTACATTCGCCTAGAATTCCACAGATTTAAATTATTAATATTAAACGAACTTGCAACATGTTCAATTTAGTCGAATTCGGCGTGATTTAGAGATTCCGTTTTTGTCTCTATTTTACAAACTAGATGAATTCATTCAAGCAAAACCTATAAACAAGACTGTCTTACCATTGGTGTATTTCTTCTTCCGTAACTGTAAAAATAAGAAAAGTTTTGTCATAAATGACACATGGAATAAAAAATAATGTAACAAAGTACATTTTTGTGATGGAAAAATATATGCATTGATGGTTTTATTCAAAACTGTTGATTTCCTTTTTACAAAAGGAGACAATATTCAAGAGTTACTTGTGTTTATAGCATTTAAGGCAGTCCAATCAACATATTTTTGTATTTTAAATAGTTAATATTACACACATTGGAATGATTAACGTGACTTTTGTTATTTTCCATGTTACACGTTATCGAAACCAGATTATTTCTATAAGTGATTTTCCGCAAATCAGGTAATGAACGCTCAATCATTTTCATATTACAGTTGTCCAGTCCAGACAAAATATTAATTTTCCTCATTTCTTGTAATCAAAACTAAGATCGACATATTTGTTACACTAAAATAAATGTGTAGGCGGTAATTAACATGACAACTTTTGAATAGCAATTCCAAGTTAAGAAATCGACGTTAGTTATTTCAAAAAGCTCAAAGTCAATATGTCTTTTTTATCTTTAAAATGTTTAGATAAATTTACAGCCAACTTCAATTAATAAATGTTCAGGTTATCTATCGATTGACATTTGACATTTCCTTTGAAAGCAGGAAATTAATTATATGGCATTATGACAAATCTTACAAGAAACTTAACGATAACAATGATTTTTATTATTGATTTTATCTTAAAGTTGGTTCAAATTTGAACAACATCAATAGATAAGCATTTAAATGATGTCTTAATTGGTGAAATAAATCAAAGAAGATTTAAAAAAAAAGATACTAAAATATCTGCATTTTGACATTTTAAGACATCCGCATTTCTGTTTATATGGCTATCGTTATGGTAACATCTATAAACATAACAATGACATTACAATAAAAGCGGCACAATATCATAAGTAGCAGGACAAATGCATCTTTAACGCAAATAAAACTGTTAGAACTGAATAGATTGAAAGATTAAAATATAAGATGTTAGGAAAGTTACATATATAAACAACAATAATAACAATGAAAAAAGCAACAAAACAATAGCATATTGGCATATAATGGAGAAATATAAGAAATATTAAAAACGTGCAAATAATTGATCATTAAAAAAATAAACAGTAGGAGAAAAAAGTAGAATAAACAAGATAAAGGCTAACCTGGAACAAAAATCTAGATGCATTTGTAACAACAAAAAGATTTTACATCATTTGGGATGTGTGGTTTTCTCATAATGCTAAGAATGTGAACTATTTCGTTCACTCTTTTTTTCCACAAACCTGTTAATGAGATTTTCTACTGGGAGCAAGGAGGTGTAATACAAAAACAAAATCGCTCAATCATTAATAATTAACTTTCACGTGTTTGCTGCATGTTAAACAGCGTTTAAATGGGTAGAACACAATATGAACCAGATGTTAAACTACGTATAAAATAATTTACCCTCACCGCATTTAGTATTTGAAGTATAAATGTCCGAAGGTTTTCCTTTTTCTAAATTTGTTTACGGCATAGAAATGAGCATGGTTCTACGTGTGAGGAAATTCCTTGTTTCGAATACTTACGAAGGACGGTCAGAAAATATCCTGACTTTTCATGGTCCTCTCTTTCCACGTGCAGCTATCTACACACATTATATATTGGCTAAAAACTACTTTCATTCACCAATAACGTGGTCAGTTTATTTGAAATGATAGTTGTGTATACACAGTATTTTGTCTTCTTATATATGATAGGTGTTTCGTCTATCATGGACTCATTGTTAGAGTAATAAAGTTTCTGGTTGAAAAAGGTGAAAAGCCGTGCCACATCTTTCAAGGGCTTAAAAAAAATTCTGATAAATGTGTATCACGTTCAACCTTCTACAACTGGGTTTCTCAGTTTCGTGAAGGCAGAACACGTGTTTGTGACAGGACTGGGCGGTCAGTTGAGGCGATGGCCCCAACAATGGTAGCAAATGTTAAGGCTTTTGTCAACAAAAATCGTCGAGTAACTTTGGAGGAGGTAGCCAACAAGTTTAGCATCGGTAAGGCATTGGCACAAGATTTTACACGAACACTTAGGCATGAGCAAGGTAAGTGTCAGGTGGGTGCCTAGACGGCTGTCAGCAGATCAAAAGGCAAACCAGAGCAACCAATGCAAAAGAACATTTAAGTCGTTTTAATCGTGAAGGAGATAAGTTTTTGAACCGCATTATCACTGGAGATGTGATGTGGGTTCATTATTACGAACCTTAGGCAAAAGCTCAGTCCAAGCAGGGGAAACGAGCTGGTTCCCCACCTCCTGAAAAGTTTAAGCTGTCTCCTTCGGCTGGCAAAGTCATGCTTCTTGCCTTTTGGGATTCACGAGGAATGATACTCACTCATTTCATGCCAATAGATCAAACTGTCACCGCCAAATACTATTCTGAAGTCATTCTGAAAACTCTCAGAGAAAAGCTAAAGCAAATGCTTCCCAGGTTAGCACAGAAAATTGCCCTCCTTTTTCACGATAACGCCCCCTCCTATACAGCCGCAGCTACAGTGAATGTTATCAACTCTTACAAATGGCAGTTGTTGTCTCACCCTCCTTATAGCCCAGACCACGCCCTCTGTGACTTTTATTTGTTTCCAGAACTGAAAACATTGCTTGCTGGAAAGAAATATAAGACAAGGGCGGATTTGATATCTGCTGTTACACAGTACCTAAAACATAAGTCTACGTCATGGTTCACAGCGAGAATCCAAAAGCTCCCACGAAGATGGCAAAAGTGCGTAGACGTACATGAAGGTGGAGAATGTTTTGAAAAAGAGTAGAAAGATTTTGAATGGTTTTCGAGAACGAGTCAAAAGTCCGGATATTTTCTGACTTCCCCTTGTATATGTCTGTGTTTTGCCTTTTTGTTTCTAAATTCAATATTCATGTACAGACTCAATAAAACCAAGTCTGCAATTCTCTTGTAATTTTGATGTTATTAATGCTGTAACGTGCACCGAGAAATTGCCTATATTTCAAATATCGTATTATCTATAAAAGTGTAATTTAATATATAAATATATAATTTTCCTCAGGACTACCTTGTCACTATGATTTGTAAGAAATTTCC